CATATCAACTATAAAGCATTGGTAGCTGCCTTATCAAAGAGGTTCGAAGTGTCCAGAGCAAAGTTCTTTAATAAGTATGGAGGAAAGAAGAGATCTAAGCTGAACTTGCAGAAGATTTGGAGAGGCTTGCATGGACACTCGTGGAATGGTGGGTTCATTGGCACATGATCAATTTATAGATGCCATAACAGAAAAAAATATGAGAAATAAAATGAAGCAAAGTAGATGTAGATTCTTAAAGGAAGATCTGCAGTTGGCAGTGGAACTAAAATCCATTAAAGTCACAGATAAACATCATCTCAAAGTTGCTGGATCATTAGATCAAGTAATATTGAAACATCAACTCACACTGATGATGGTATAGAAGAACTAAAAGTATTGGTTAGATAACTAGTTGCACAGAATAAAGAAAATAAACCACAAGACAATAGGTTCTTCAAGTGTAACTTGAAAGGATATATTGCAGACAAAACCTTGTAGGCAATAAAACGTTCTGCCAAAGGATACCAGAAAAAAGAAATTGTTATGGAGATGGGAAACCTGGTCATTTCAGCTAAGACTGTTAGGAATCAACAGCTTTTAAGATACCAAGGAGACAATACCTCAAGGACGAGTCTTTAAACCCAACCATATCAAAGGAACAACAAAGAGCTAACTAGGTATCAGGAAACAGGAATTAGTTGAACTTATGGAGGAAAGTTAAGCTGAGAATACCCCATCTGCCCCAAATGAAATAAGAAGCTCCTTGTTTAAAGAAACCTTTCCATGAATTTATTGACAGGAAGCCTTGCAGTATTTTGATCAACACTGGTTCTACAGCTACAACAGTTCAACCCAATCTGCTAATGAAAGGTGAGAAACTACCTCCAGATATGATGAATGAAAAAGGAGTGATATGAATAGCAAGTGGACATAAGGCTCCAGCAAGGGGAAAATTATAAGTTAACCTATGCCTCATAAAGTATAACTAAAAATAGTAAATGCAAGGTTAGGCTAGCTCCAAAGTCTATGACCAGGAAATCTCTATGCACTACACAGAAATTCTTACATAAATGGTTAAACTTCCAGTGACAACAGGGAGAGCAGTCATTGTATCACAAAAAAAGTGAAATACTGATACCAGGAGTTATTAGGAATAAATCTACATCTAGTAATTGGGGCATAGTGGAACTAAATACACCAACATATCCTGAGGGATTGATTGTTCAAAGAGCTCTCTTGGATCTGAAGAATAAAGATGTCATATATGACTACCCAGGAAAGAGACTTAAATCAGCTTGTGATAAAATGAAAAGTCACTATGAATTTAATGCGGATAATACTGGATTTAATTGAGCTAAAGTAACATGGTATGCCTGTACAATTCACACTGCAATGAAAGGAGAAACTTCAAAGTTACACAGGTGTTGAGAAAGGCAATATGTTGTACTGAAAATAATCAATGATGTGGTTTACAGAGTCCACAGGAACAGGAGATATAAGCCAAAGACTATCCATCATGATCATCTTCTGATGTATGTTGGTGAGAGAAAGGGATTCAACATCATTTCTATTGTAAAAGGCTCCATTGTAGAAATGCCATGTCTAAAACACACCACCTCTTACTAAATGCTTTCCACAACCCATCTAGTGCATGAAGATGATTTTTCAACATCCATTTAAACAATCTGCTTACAAAGAAATCCATAGACATTGTTTTTGATTATTTGACTATTATATTATTGTGTGGATTAGCAGGAACACCTGTTTCATTCTCCATTTGTTTGAGATATATGACAACTAGATGAAATTGTCATGGAAGCAACTTATGTACATATGACTGTGTTCCTTTTCTAGACGGTGGAAATCCTTCTTGATTATTTTGCTTACTATTGCCTGGGACATGTAGCTGGCTTTTTCTACTTACCTTTATGTTTTTGGATTCACACCTGCTACAAGACACCACACTTGGGGTATGATCTGTTGCAAGTATCTTTCTGGATATCTCTATTGCCCCAAAATGATTAATATTTCTCTGTTTTCCAGTGAAGTTAAGAACAAGGTATATCCCCCTCTCGAAAATTCTAAATATCCTTTTTGAACACATCTTTATGATCTGAGTGTAAGAATACTTTGCATCAGAAAGAGCCACTGTGTACCTTTCCTAAAAGCAATTAATTTCCAGTGGCATTGCACTGTCTACGAAACACAATCTCAAAACGTAGTTCTGATACATACTATTCCACTGTGACTTTAATCGCTCTGGTTAGCATCTGACGTGCTGGTTTCATGTTCAAAACCTTTCTAATATATTCAACACTCTGTAAAACTAAGCCAGACAAAGTAATAAAGAAATCTAGTGAAGAAAAATAATCAAAAGTGTTGATGTATATTTGTACATATCGCATGAAAGAACGTGGAAAGAGCACCATGAATATAGTATTTGTTTTTTGCCTATGTGATTTGCAGTGGCAGATACAAAATTAGTGTTTGGGGAGGGAGGAGGGGCAAAGTTTTGGAGATGAAGCGCCAACGCGAGAGCGAGCATTTACGGCGTAGGGTCCCTGGGCTCGCTTTTGTGTCATCTGGAATAGAGAAATGCGCCTAAAAATGACTCGAAAATCATCTCTTATGCTTTCAGTGCTAATTTTCGAGAATGGGGTTCGAAAATATACTTTATATTGCAAGAAATCAAACTTACAAACCGTTTGTTTGTGGGCTAAAATAATCATGACATTTTATTTTGGGGAGGGCCATGACCCTCTTGGATCCGCCAGTGTTAATTTGACATTACATATTATTTTGGGTTTTGAATATGCTACTCATGACAATTTGTTTTGATTTTCCGGTTGTTATAGAACTTGGATTCTAGAGATATTAGTTTCTTTGTTGAATTTCGCCCAAAATTACTCGACAGCTATGTGCGCTAGCCGTCCCTAATTTTAAAATGATAGACTAGAGGGAAAGCAGCTAGTCAACACTATCCACCGCCAACTTTTGGGCTATTCTTTACTAACAAAGAGTGGGACTGGCCGTCATATTATAACACCCCAGGCCCTAGAGGTGTTAGTAAATATGTCTTGAAGTCTCAACTAAAACTTCATCCAAGAGCAGAATTATTTTCTCTCAAATTGTTAACATGTAAAGTAGTTTGCTTTCTATGCCACTGATAATTTTAAAATTTTAAATTATGTTGGGTTGATATGTTAACAGTTGTTAGGGATCTAAAACAAGTAAGTTCGGATTGTATTACGAAATGTCCCCCAGTAGATCAGTGGTAAGTCTGAAGGCTTATAGCATTAAAAGCGTTGTTTCGATACCCATAGTCGGCAAAGCACTGATAGCCCATTGTATAACTTTATGCTTAATAATAAACAAACGAGTGTCAAATTAAATTATTTTAAAAAGGAATATATATATATAAATATGTCAATTTGTATTTATGGTAAAGCTACTAAGGCCTTCTCCTGCTATCTCTAATTTTGAACTGCCTACCTGTGGAAGGGAGCCCCTCCCAGCAGCATTTTAACACCATCCATTCAGGCTAAGGGTTTGACTGTTACCCTTATAATGCTTCCACTGCTTAAAGTGCGGAAATATTTTGTGGTATAGCTTGAACTCGATCCCGGCTTACCAGCTCTGAAATCTAGAGATCTATCACAGAGCCAACCCATGCCTATATATACATGCCTGTATATGTCAATGCTGAAGTATTTTACATTGATGATTTTTCATTTATTTCAACTATTTGAAATGCGTTATTTCTTTGATATAACAATTTCTACAGTACAAATAAAATGGCTTCATTTATCTTGTAATATTTCACTACTTTTCTATAATTTCCTAAGCGTATATTCAATTATTTTTATTTTTATAAATATAGAAAATATTTTTTATAACAAATTGCCCCAGTGGCTGAGTGGTATTCCTGAAGGCTTATAACACTAAAAACCGGATAGTCTATTGTGTAGCTTTGAGTTTAATAATAATAAACATAACAAACTTATAAGGATTTACATTGTTCATGTAATAAAAATAACCCTGACAACATAGGCGTCCGCAGGGGAGGGGCAAGAGGGGGCATTTGCTCCTCCTGGAAAATGAGAAACATAATTATTTCTTTATTCATTCAGCATATGTATGAATTTTTATTCAATTCACAATTTCACACTACTTTTCCCGCCCATGGAAACATTTTTGCAGACTCCCATGCCCGACCAGCTTTGTTCTTCAGCAGGGCTAATTAGTTTAATAACTAATAATGATAAGTTATTCCAAGGTAATTGAACTTGATTTTCAATAACTGAGAGTTAAATTTTTGTCGTGATAGTTAGCAGCTCGCAAAACTAAATCACCTCAACGTTAACCGGCCCCTCGGCGGCTCAGCGATAAATTTGAAGGCTTATAGCACTAAAAATGAAGGTTCAATATACACATTTGGCACAACATAGATAGTTTATTATTTAGTTCTGTTCTTAAACACAAAGAGCGTTAACTGAAGCTGTATTGTTCATGTCACGTTGTCGCAAAAACTCGTTCTTGACTTTTAAGACGTAGGCGCCCTGTAAGAGTGATGGTTAAATCCCACTATTCGTTCAGACAAGAACTGATAGTGTGTATTGTTAACTAGTATTCTTCTTTCTAGACTATCAACTAAAAAATATGGAAGGCTGCGCTTAGATAATCCTTTTGATTACCAACATAGGTAGATTATGTTTTCTGAAGAACTGGAACTCACACAGCGTTGGGAAGTTAATGCAATAAATTAAAATCACTGTAAAAACACGACATTAAACACAAAAACAAATTTAGCCACGTTTTTCTGAGCATAAGCAGGGGCGTAGGCAGAAATATATAAAGGGAGGTGCCACTTTTGGAGAAAAAATAAAATGAGTGGCGAAGCCATACTGGAGGGCTAATGGACATGCCCTCTAAGGAAAGTGTTGTAATTTTCACAGAAAATGGTGTATTTTGATGGTATTTGATGTTGGTTTTACACATTTTACATATGTTTAAACATATTTCGTGCAATTTAAAGAGAGCGATCACACTAGCCGCACATATACTCCAGTTTACGTGCATGATAAGAGTACAAATTATAATTTATATAAAATTAAGAATTATAATTCAATTTTCCTGTGCAAAAGTTTCGTGGCTTATATAAATAAAATTTGGTACCAACGTTAGTTCTCTATGTTTGTTTGAAATCTTGGTAATGGTAAGTAAATAATGCATCTTTAATTAAGTAGCTCGTAGTTTATACGCTAAGACGCTTCATTTAGAGTCAGAGAACTTAAACCGAAATCTTTATCAAGTTAAATAAATAAACCTTTTGTTTTTGTAGTGGCGTTGCAAGCAACTTTCATCATGGCGTCTCTCACGGAAGAACGGCGAAAAGAGATGGAAGAGGAGATGAACAGGTAATAAACAAGTATTTTGAATTCTGTTTATAAAGTGTAAGTAATATTTACCAATAATTGTAAATAGCAGCATTTTCATCTTAACAGAGATGTTGTATAACATGCAACGAAACATTGCATACATGTACTGTCTGTTGACTGAAGTACTCAGTCTCAAGTAAGTTGATGTAGGCCAGTAGTTCCCAACCTGTGGCCCCGGGCCCCTAGGGGTTCGCGAAGATACTACTATCTCATTAAACAAGTAAATGTTTTAATTCTTCTTTTCTTTTAATTGCACACTCAGTTATATATGTCTTTTATTTGATAGTGAAAAATGGGAAAACAAGTTAATTATTAGTAAGAAAAACAGTTCGTTGGGTAGATGGAATCTTTCAAAAACAGGGATCCTTGTTGGTGAAAAGGTTGGGAACCGCTGATGTAGGTTATAGCCATAACTCATTTAACTGCATAAGTTATAATTATTATTAATAATAATACTTTATTAATAGGGATTACTTTGAAATTTCAGATAAATAATAATGACAGACTTTTTTAAAGGTGTGGGTGAGTGGCTATATATAAAGATGAACTGCAGCCTTTTTGTATTAAACTTAAAGACAAATAACTTTTAGTTTTAGTGTAGAATTAGAAGTAGAATTTAGAAATAAAAAGTTAATAATTGGTAGATTTTATAGGCCAACATATACAGAAGAGGTCAATGAGAAATTGTATAATGAAATAACAGTTGTTACTGCTACTAGTAAGAAAACCATTTCAATAATTATGGAAACCTTTAATTTTAGACATTGAATCAGATTTCAAGATTTCATGGAATTGTAGTGAGGGAGAGAAATTATCTTTAGTGATTTAGGATAGATTTCTATAACCAATGTTCACAGAGCCAATCAGGGGTAAAGCCATTTTAGATTTATTGCTAACCACTGAGTTGAAATAGGGGATAAGTGTTCATTGCTTAAGTAGGTTTGATATTTTGTTACATGTTGTGCAGGGCATTTGGGTTGGTTAGTTCATCTTGGAGGAGTCACATCTCGCACCCATTTAATTTCTCAGTCATTTGGGTGTTTTTGTTTGTCTGTCTGCAGGGCCTAGCCTTATGAGGGACATGGAACAATTGCATTCCCATGTCATATCTTCTTTTTCCCCCATTGTGTGGGAGGTTCTCTCTCTTTTAGCATCTTGGGCTTTCATGGAATCCTGTATCCCCTTGTGTCGTGCTCATTTGCAATGTCTATAATGGACTGCACGTTCTCTGGTTCCTTGCTTGGGATCCCCTGTCCTCAGCCATTTTCTTTCCTTACTCAAAGACTTCACTGGGTGAGTTGATAAAACTACACCTATAGTAGGTATTCCTCCTTGTTTCGTCTGGGTTTCCTTCTGTTTCCATATGTCACCTTGATGAGGTGGAATACAAATGTGGTGGGTCAACACCAGTACAAAACCAGGCAGCGGCAGGAATTTTTTATCCAATCTGCGGGAGGAGAAGGGTCCCTACCACCCAGATGTGGGAAGACTTACGTTGGCTGGTCCTTTGCTAATCTAGTATCAGACAGACTACCCAAGAACCAACATCCAGTCAGCGGTAGGATGGGACAAAAGCCAGATAGAAGGGTGAACTCCATGTGGTGGATTCATCCAGTCCAAAACCAGGCCCATGGTAGGAGGAGAGTACTCACCATCTATGGCAACAGAATGCCACTACCCTACTCTTGGCTGAATGGAAGCCTCAGTGGTCCTCCACCTCAGTGGTTAGGAACTGGTAAGTGGCAAGGACTTCCATACTTTACTAGAAGATGGGTGGGGGGGAGAGAACATGGTGAAGAGTTCAGAGGATTGCATAAGACTCTATTTTGAAAAGTAGGCTAGTTCAGGTTTATTCAACTAGGACCAAAGGGATGGGTAGCGATCCTGACACTGCTTTACTCATGATAGTCAATGAGTTGGTACGGTTTGGTATAGGCTTTATTTATGAAGCAAGATACCATAAGGAACCCTATAGCAGCCTTGTGGAACACCCAATCTCATAAGGTGTACAGTTAAAGTTATGTATACCAGGATAGGCACCACTTGCCACTGAGCAGGATCCAGAGTTGTAGAAACAGACCATTGTAAAGGCAAGATATATAAAAAAGAGAACTTACCCATTCAGAGCTGATAAGGGATAGAATGGTAACAGGGTGAAATTGATATCTAGAAAAAGATGAAGAAAATGGGTAAGGAAAGTACGTGGGGTAGACCACATACCAATTTGAATTAATTCCTCCAATAGATGACGGGAATTGAACAACCAGAAAGAGAGTAAGGTGTCAGATTTGGTAAGGAGACTTGAAAGAATCGATGTGAATCTACATCCAAAGAAGCATAGGCTAAATGGATGAGGTGCTGTAGCCATCCCTTGAGAGTAATAGGAGAAATATCTTGTGGGGATGAGGACATCCAAACAGTAAATAGATGGGAGCATGAACTGTGAAAAGGAGCAAAGCTGGCCAAAGAACAATAAACTATGTGGATGAGACAGAGAAAACAATTCAGAATAGAATGATAATAATATTGAGAAATGGAAGAAGAAAAAATATGGGAAGCAGCAGTGGTATATACATCATATCTCCTATGGCCACAGGCAAAACTTAAGAGAAAGATGGTACAAAGAACAAGAGACTAAAGGGCCAAAGAGAGGAATGGTAAGGGCACAGAGAACAGTATTATGATTCAAATCAGACTTCTGATTTTAATTTTTCTTTGTTTCAGGTTTGAGCAAGAAATTGCTTTTCCTGCTGATTCATCTCCTCCTCCATCTCATCCAACACCTACAACTTCACATTCAAAACCTAGTAATGTTGAGAGAACACCAACCAAAATAACTGCACCATTTGTCCCTGGTAAGTCAATATATTTCCTGAACACTTTTGATGAAAATATATACTTTTTTTTATGAGGAAATGTGATATCTGTGAAAATAAGATTATCTGTTCAATGTACAAAAGCTCATTATTTTTCTCAGCAATGCAGTTTTCAATTATGTTTTTGTTTTTTTTTCATTTAAAAAAATTAAGGAATTTTTGAACTTATTATTTTTCACTTTAGTTAACATTTGAAGTGTTATCTTTATCTGAAATATTTTGATTTTGAGAAAGGAATATACAACTTTTTAAAATTGATTCCAAAATATACCTCTCTCACACTGTAGCTATTACTCGATTACCAGAGTTTCTTCCTTTGCCCGTCTAAGTGTTGGTCTGATTTTTTCTCGCTTGCTCCAGTCTTTTATTCCCCTCTTAATTGCCCATGGCAATATTTGTCTCGTGACACCCTCCACCTACATCAGTGCACCCTCTATCCTGGTACTGTATATATAAGCACCTCATTCAGATAATGTTATCACTTTTTCAAGACTGACTCAATCCGCAGTCTCTAACACCAGCTATTAGTGGGTAGGAAGGGTAGGTGAGCATTATTGTTAATAAGCATATATTGAAATCTTTTGTTAGTATATTCTGAGACCTTGGGTACTATCTTGCATTTATATTTAGTCTTTAGTATTTAATGTAAGGATGTATGATAGTTCGCTTTGCTATATTGAAGTTCAGTGCATTTTGATATAGTACTTGATAATGCATATCTGTTCTCAGTGTTTGCGAGTTGTATCAGAACACTGTAGGTCAATCAAGAACTATTAAAGAATATTTTGAAATAATGCTAAGTTTGTTATTAGGTAAATGGAATTATTTGAACATAATGTGCTTCGTTTTATAATTCATTAGCATAGACTCATCAACAGATTACAAGTTTTTATTAATTTAATTTGAATTTAATAAACTTGAATAGTTTTATATCATTATCTTAATTTTATAGTCATCATATTATTTTAATTCTACTCATTCCTGGATGATTTTGCTCTTAAGTAACATACTTCCCCAATAAGGACAGAAAGAAATCTTCCTAAAAGATTGTAATTTTTGCGAAATGTGCTGGCAGCCAAATTTATGATGGTAATGTTTTTACAAATGAATGCTCCAAATCAGTTGGAAATGGTATGATCTACCTTGAAGAATTTATGACATTTGAAACACTAAATAAAAAAAATGTGAACCCAAAAAATGAGAAAGAGTTAAAACAGGGAATCATTTTAAATTTTGAAATAGGTATTGGTGTATAATGTAGATCACCTTAGTATCATTATTCCTGAAGTAAATTGCTATGAATAGTTGGACTTTGGATGCTAAAATGAAAACCTTTCGTTACTGTTATAGCACTTTCCTATATACAGTTTTTATTTGTAACTTCATTACATTGAAAAGCTAAAAGAATCATACATAAACAATTCAACAAACATAGATTGTTTATCAACATAAAAAAAAACTAAAAGAACCATACATAAACAATTCAACAATCATAATGTTTATCAACTTAAAAAAAAACTAAGAGAACCATACATAAAGAATTCAACAATCATAGATTGTTTATTAACATAAAAAAAAAACTTTTGCAGCTCAGTATTATATTGTGTTTTGGCATTTGGGTAACTTTTCACCTGTGTGGTTTCGTATAAATATATTGCATAAAAAAATATTTATTTACACTTACTTCCTACTTTATATATAGAACACCCTATTTATTTGGCTGATGATTTCTTGAGACCTGTAGGTGTAGGGATATGGTCAGTCATGGTATGGTTAATCTTCAACACAAAGATATGAGCAAGGATATTAACTGTTAGAGCAGGGATTCTCAACTTTTCCTCCATCATTAACCCCCTCGGCTTGATGTATTTCTCCATTTACCCCCCTTACTTCCATACAAAAAATTCATAGCCATCACAAAGGGACAGAAAAACAAGAAGGTCAGAAAAAAAAATATTATTCAGGTTTTGCACAAAAATAGCACACACACACACACACACACATTTTACAAAATGAAATTTAATTGAATTATTATTCAATCATCAGGTACATCAGTTATTTATCCCCCTGTCATGTAATTTTTTACCCCCAAGGGGTAAATTTACCCCTGGTTGAGAATCACTGTGTTAGAGGGACCTGATAGTATGTGGCTACCTAGAAGGAGCATCATTATTAAAGACTATTTCTGTGATCAGTTGTTCAAAGATATGTTTTTGAAAGACCGTCAACAGTGTCAATTGAAAGGAAATATGCCTACCACCAAGAAGTGTGTGGCTGACAAATGCTGGACACTAAACAAGTATTAGCTTGTATGGTGCAACAGTTGTCAGCCTTTGTCTCAATTGACTAAATTCATTTTCACTAGTAGACAGGATTGGATGATCTCTAAATATACCACACAAAACACACACAATTAGAGTAAGGCAGTGGATATCAGGTTATCTTAAGTGTAAACATGAAAGCATAAAATCAGTGTTTTTAGAGCACAAATTATGAATAATGGTAGACTAGAATTATGTCAAGTGATTTCAACAACTGATTGCTACTTGCGAAGAAATAGAAAATATTTTATTGAATTTTCAATTCAGAAACTAGCTGTTAAAATTGCATCTGCAATGGAACAAATGTGAAATTATTCTTACCAGAATGTTCTTACACAAAGATAACAAAATAAAATAATGAAATATCATTTTGCTTTACTATGACTGTTCTTAAAGCACATTCCTTTGTGATTACAGCTTCTTTAAATTATGATGAATAAGATACAACCAGTTTTTCCAACAAAGAGTTAGATGCTTTTCTAATTAATTTTGTGTATGTCAACTTGCTTTGGTATGTGTTATGTAATTTAGTCTCTGAAAATATTGCTGCCTGAACTACTTAGGAACTGATGCACTTTATCTTTCCTAAGAACAGACTATGTATTTATCAAAAGGCTGTGAGGGCATGAGGCTGCTTTGGTTTGTTTTGTATGAGTTTTATTAAATTATGACAACTCTTGATGTGTTTAACTGTTTAATCATTTCAGCTACCCGTCCTCCACCACCACCACCTCCACCCATGTCATCACATATGCAGTTTATTCCTCACCAACTTCAACAAAGACCAACTCTTCAGCTACATCCTCCTCCCCATATGCGTCCACCCATGAGACCAGGCTTTGGAGTTCCACCAGGAAATTTCCACCCAGGTCCACCAGGAATGATGGGTTCTATGCCACCAGGAATGCCAATGCATCATGGCCCTATGGGTCCAATTGGTCCTGTATCTATGTCAATGATGGGTTCAATGGGCATGATGGGTCCTGTTTATTGTGCTCCAGGAATGGGCCCTATTACACAGACATATCCTGGGTCCATGTGTTCTCAGATGTACCAGGAATTAGATACAGTCACAACCTCAGTTACAAGCATTACTAATACATCTGTGATTGCAGCCACTCCTACAGTATATGCAGCACCACCCATGAAATCTGTTGCTGAAGAGGAGAGATTAGGTGAAGAAGATGGAGGAACAGACACAGGTTCTGTAGACCATACTTTTCATTCTACTCTTGGAATACCTAACTTAGGTGGTCAGGTTATAACGACCATGTCAAATGAAACCACTGCAGTATCAAAAATGGGACCTGCAAGTATTAACAGCCAGATCCCTTCACAACAACAATCTGAAGAATCGGCACCACCAAAGAAAAAAGAAAAGAAAAAGCGAATAATTAGAAATGCAGGAAATCAAATATGGGAAGATAATTCCTTGTTAGAATGGGATTCGGGTAAGTTTATATTTCTATCGTGTTTTCTTTATCAGTTAAAAGTGTTAATTAGTGTTAATTTAAGAATGTGGCTGTGAAATAAGAAAGTAATGCAACATTTTTTTTTATTTAGAATTTGCTTTGGTTTGCAATTCATGTATCATACATCAACCACTAATTAATCTCATTATGTTTTTGTTTTTTTTCTCAAATCTTGCATAGCTATTGCATTATTAAGTATGTTTATCTTCAGAAATCACTGTGTGTGTTTTTTTTATTCATTATTACTTGTGCTTCCCTTTTCCATTATCAGGGTTAATTCTTTTCTCAAGTAATTCTGTTTAATTGATTTTGGATTGTCGTTGAGAAATAATAGTTATTTGTAATCTCTTTAATGTTTTTGATCATTTTAAGAGATGTTAGAATAAAAAAATATTAATTTTCCTTTTGCCGATGTGTGTTTACATTTTACAAAATCATTTTATCATCACAGGAAAAAAAAAAAGTCTCCTGAGCAGTTAGATACAGGTATTTAAAATAACAGTGTCTATAATGTCATCTTGTTGCACTTACACAGCATCCATGAAAGTTTCACTAAAAATCAGTTTCATTCTTTTTTTTTTTTCTTTTTTGCCACTGAGATAACTAAACCACAATAATGCTCTTATTTGTTTCAAAGTTGTTATTGGATAAGTTTTGTAACATCTAATTTTTAATATGAAAAACTTACTAGCATACTTTCAACAATAACTTTTCTTTTGACAAACATCAACTTTTTATTTTTCATACTGCTGTGTATCATTTCATTAGTGATCCAACTTGTTTTATTAATGTCATGAGATTTTTGAAATATGATAGTTTCAATTGAACTAGTGTTATGTTGTTATCTTAACCATCTAGTTGTCAAATATTGTCTGTCTTCATCAGTTTTAATTCTTCATTTAACTACTATTGCTTCCATTTGAGTTAATAGGATATATATAGATTATTGTCATCATATATAGTCATGAATTTTTATACACTATTTTTTGGAACACACACTCATAAAGTCTAATTTAAATTACAAGCTTTGGTCCTTTTTTTAATTTTTAGGCTGAAGTTTTTCATTTCATGATTCATTGTTTGCAAGACATTCATCTGGTTTGGTGACTTCCAATAACCAAAATGTATTTTCTGATCATGGTATTTACACTTCTAACAAACAACATTTGGTTAAGTGCACTTATTTGTGAAAAAACTAAACAAAAACCTTGATTTTTTTCACTGTTTGTGTCTGGGAATTTTCAGTATTGACTCAACTGTAGGATACATTTTATCTATCTGTTTTGTGGCTGTATAACCATACCATTTTTTCATGCTGGAACTTGGGATTCTGAGACAATAACTCACCTCCATACGCAGAATAGGCTATTTTCTTTGCATGTCTGCCTCTGTGATTTGTTTGCTACTAACCTTGAGTTACTCCCCTTATGCACTTGCACTCATGACTACTTCATTCTTCTCCTTTTTTTTTTTCTCTGACAGCTCCTCTCTTATGCCCAAATGCCTTGTCTTCCTAATGTTTGTGACACTTTTGGTCTTGACTTTTAGGCATTCTTTCTTTTCTTTCTTGATTCTCAGTCTTTTATATATAATTGACCTGGTTGGGGATAAAGCCCCTTCCCTTCTATTACAATCTCTGGTTCTCCATTTTCGGGTCTTCGTTCTTTTGCTACTACTGTCCTGTATTCCCTCTCTTACCTCCACTTTTTGTCTGAAGCATTCCATCATGTATCAGAGGGGTTTTATGACGAAGTCTATTCTCTTCTCTTTATCAGCTTAGCCTGTTCCACTTGTCCTGCTCTGTCTTTCCTTACTTTATTCCTTTGATGTTAGGACTCATTAGGTCAGGTTACATTTTTCTTTACTATATACCTCCTCCTTTTTGTGTACCTGGTCTTTATTGGGCTCCCTTTCTTCGCCCAGATATCTTTGGTGATTGTTTCTCTCTGGACAACTGTACAACTTCAGTCCCCATTATTTTCCCAGATTTTTCTTCTTTCTCGACCTTGCTCTTACTCTGTTCCTTGTCTGGATTAGTCTACCCATAACCTTTCCAGTCCTTCCTTTTTTCTTGTCCTCCCTCTATCAAAGGTCTAGTTCATTGCTGTTCTTGTTAGTGACTTTCATGTCACATCCAACCATTTGGGGTCTCTTACTCTTCTCCCATTGTTGGTCACATTTTCTGCTGACAGTTGTTTTTCATTTCTCCACCATGGTTTTTCTCCTCACTTAACTTCACTCCTCTTCCCTCCAACCCCCATCTATGGTCTTTTTCACACAATTTGCAATTGACCATTGTCAATTTTTCAAACACTTTCCTACACATTCTTATTGACCTGTCCTTCATATGGTTTCTACATTCCATCCATCAGATTCACATCTTCCCATTCCATCCTTTTCCCTTCGAAATGGCATTGGCCAATTTTCTATTATTTGTATTGTGAGGGCCTTTGCTCACCATATTCATGGCTTGGGGCTGGTATTCCTTTCTTTTGATATTGGATGGTATTCTCTTCTCAAACTTCTCTTCTTTTACAGGAGACTACAAGGTTGAGGTGGCTTGTCATGAGAACTAATCCCTTTCTCATGCCCACTCAGTAGTTGGTACTTCTAGGCATTTTCTTAATTTCTTGTCTCAGCCAAGTTTAGTCCTCCCCTCTTCACCTATGAGTTATGGCATATCAGGATTTACACTGCTCATTTTCTTCCTGTATGAGAGGTTCTTTTGTCTTTGGGGCTTTAGCTGTATTCTTTTGGAGCATGTGAACACATACTTCCTTTAGTGGACCTCAAGTTCCATTCCCCTCTTTTGTGAACCTTCCCTCCCTCCCCTTGAGGGATTGTCATGGTGACTGGACTATGCGCATAGTAGTTCCAACATTCCCTTACCTACTGCCAGACTGTATCTATCTCTTCACTAATGCTTCACTCTCTAATTGAGATGCATTTCTGGATGAGGACGTGGCTTCTGGTGCTGGGACACAAGTTAAGCATTCCCTCCACATCATGCTCAAACTTCATGCTGTTTGTTGGCCATGTTCCCATTCCTGCCCCTATTGGTTGATTAGTTAATTATGATATACTCCAAAAATTCCATGTTCGTTTCTTATACTAACCATACTGGAGGCACCCATTCCAGGACCCTTTGCTGTCTGGAAATGGACCTCATCTTCTGTGGCTATTCACATCAGGTTTGTCTTGTTACTTGTCATTTGCTGGGAGCTAAGAACTTGATGGTGGACCACCTTTCTTGGCCAGTCTGCATTCTACCAATGGATTGTTTTTTTACACCTTCCAGATCTTTTATTGGGTTTACTCTTGGTTAGACACCACCTTTGCCACACTTTTCCACTCCAGGCTTCCTCACTTCTTGTTTCCTCTTTCTCATACTTTGACTCTGGCTGCTAATGGTCACAGCCAGGCCTAGTCTCATCTTTATCTATATAGCTATCCTCCTATTTGTCTCCACTCTTGGGTCATCATCGTGGTAATGAGACATTCTTTGTTGGGTTCTATTATTGGTGTCTTTTTGACCAGTTCAGCCTTGATTTCCTCTGCTTCTTTACTTAGCATCCAGATCTCTCTTCTTCTACCCATTTTCCCCTCTCTATTACTTTGATATCACAGGATATCATCCCTCCATCTTCGTGTGTGGTATTTGTCCAGTCCATTGCCTGTTGAGCTGGACTCTCTGATCATATGACATTCTTCTTGTTACATTCTTGTCACCTTTCCACTTTGTCAGTGTATTCTATGCTTGGAGGTGAGTTATCATTTCGGAAGTTACATTTTCCTTACCCAAAAATGTATTTCTGAAAGATGACTCTGCACACATTCCCCCCCACCTGTCTTCCCCACTTACAGTGCACTTTTTTTTTTTTGTCTTGCCTAATCAAAGAATGAAATTGGCACGGGCATAGGAGGAGTTATTGAGCAGAAGGTTGTGTTGCCCTCCTATTGGTAGAGGGTTTTGTTGCATGATGACGTCATCATGCACTAGCACAGTTCGTGTTTAAAACATATTAATTTAAGTGGGAATTACCTAAAGGCTAGTGGCATGCAAATCTTGTAGGCAGCTGCATGAGGAGGTTAGCTATTCTGTGTGTGGAGGTAAGTATCTATCAGAAATACATTTTCAGGTAAACAAAAATGCAAACTTTATTGATATTATCCTAATCTTGTTTGTGGATAACTATTGATTATCATGATTGAACTTAGCATTATTGTTATTTGTGTTTATTACATAAAGAATGTGCATGTCTGATTGAATTAGTTTTACTACTGATCAAACATGAGAGAGATTTTTATGTGCAAACCAAATGTTTTTCTCATCCACAAACTAGGCTGTAGTTAGTTTAACATTGTTTGGTTGTATCATTTCAAGATTTTGTATGAAGAAGGCTTTTTTTTTTAACTTGCAAAATATTAAGAGCATTGATTCAAGTTTATTGTTTGGTGAGAATAAGTTTTTTGGGTATTTTATATATACAGTAATCCACTTTCATCCCATAGTAACAGCATATGCATCTAATCACTTACTTAAACACTTTATCACTATTGTGGTGTACGTATTTTAAACTGTGACAGTGGACCCAGAACAGCACACAAAATCTTTATGTACTATTTTAATTGGCACTTTGATACAGTGCTGTTATGCTGCTGCTTCTTAGATTTAGATCCCTTTTTTTTCACAACATTGTTTGTTTGCCACTACACTTTTTTCAGACCATTCATAGCCATTCCAGTGAAACTTTCATTCACATTCTATTCAGTATTTGTACAGAAAAGTTTAAGTAAATCTCATTAGCAGTACATAGACTGTTGGATAAAAAAACAGTCTTATTAGTTTTTCCCTTGGTTATGTTCAGTATGATGCATTATAGTATAAAAACATACTCCATGATTGATTATCAATAAAAATTTAATTAGCTATGACTGCAATATAACCTTCATAAGGTCTAGTAAAAAAAAATTGTTTTTGCGGTAAGTCAACAGATCCTGGTAAAAAAGGCCTCAGGTTGAAATGTTTTACACATTTTCTTCTAAAAAGTCCAGAGAATGTAACCATATATTTATCAATAGGTGATGTTTTTACCCAATTTAATCATGTGAGCAAGTTCTGTAATGAATCCAATCATAGAACTTACCATTGATCATAACTAATTTGAAATCATGTCAGTTTATTAATGGGAATTATACCAATATCTTTTTTTGAATAAAAGTTTTCAAAGTATGGATCTATAAAATTGCTATTCAATTGTTTAACAAGTTGAAACATGCAACAATCTACATAGTGCTAATAAGAATAGTAGCATTTAGCTCATTATGTTTCATAATGTGTCTGTCACTTCATGCCATTTCTAAGAAATGAGCTTTCTAATCCAGAGAAACAGCTTAACATGAAGGTTTTTTAATAGGTCTATCTTACCCATGATTTCTCATGTTTTGACCAGTGTGTGTTCTCGTGTTCTTTTTAAAATTCTTGCAAACAGTCAAGTACTTTTTTGCAAGTGCACATAATTCCTGATCTACTTTGTTGAAGAGTTCAACTTTAATGTTTTAAAAACATATTTATCAAACCCACACTTAGTTGTACAGATGGTGTGATGCCCAGAAATAACATGTTAGTTACAGAAAGTGTGGAAAATTGAGATTTATTTTAATTTGCAGATATGATAAACATATTAAAATTTGTTGCCTATGGAAAGTTTGTTTTGAAAATTGAGGATTATATTGCAGAAAATATTAACGTTATTTTGTCACCACATGCTATTCTTTTCTCATAAGTTCCTATTATGTATCTAATCTGTATTTTATCACTGTAGAACTAACACTGAAACAAGGCTCAAAGACAAAAATTCATGCATTGTTTAAAAATAATAATAACAGTTTCTATAGTAGGAGAGTGTATATCATTAAATGTATAAGCATATGTAACTTTTTTTAACCTGTAACTACTAGTAATCCCACTAGGCATTGTTATGTTTAATATTTTTCCAGTTTATAATCAATGTCACAAAGTAATATTTATTTTCATCAACAAGTATTTATTCATTTAAGTAGAATAATCTTATGGAAATTTGTAGAGTAAACCATGGAACACTTTTAATCTAATCATATTTTCAGCTTTTTACAGGTTATGTTGTATTTTTGGTACATTTTCATGTAAAATACTTTAGGAATAAAAAGTAACTTAATCCTAAGTTATTGTACTTGAAGATGTCTTGTATATTAAATGAAAGGTAGTTTGAAAATATCTTTTAAAAACCCAAAATAACCTGAAAAATAGGAAGACCAACTTTAAGTTGAATAATTGATTAAATGAATGTATTTAATAAGCCCAGTGATTAAGTAATTAAATTCCACTAGTAACTCTGCTCTACCTCTTTCTGATTTAGGAAGTGTACTATCTGTAATGAGTTTTTAAGGTTTCCTGTCAAGCTTTTTGTGATGCTGAATTAGAAATTTCTGTCATAGACCCTTGGATAGTTTGTGATTTGCATCTGGCTACACCCTTTGAATTTCAGCCTTTTTTTAAAGGTTTTAGCACATATTACTTTTAAATGCTTTACTCTCACTAGTAGAAGGCAATATTGCTCATATCTTAATTATATATAGAAATCCATTATTATTTTTGTTATTTAGATATTTATTATTCAAATTAATACATCTGATAAACCAACTCCTCTCTTCCCTCCATATTCAATTATGTGTGAATGAAGAACTCAAATAGCTAGCAGGTAGATCCATTGCACATATAAATAGAAGATAACCAATTGTTAGTGAGTTCTTTCATGAACTAAAAGATATGAACAGAAGTAAGTAGGAGCCTGGGGTAACAAAATGAACAGTCATATATTGAATAACTTACTCATGTGTATAAAAAAGTTTTTATTTTGAAGAAATTTTATTGTTAAAAACTTACATTATGATAAAGAAAAATGAAGAAACATGGATAAGTTTATACACATTTATGCTTTCTTAACCGAAAAAATTACTTTGGGCTTACAATAATGGATGTTTTTCATTTAATCAGCTAAGAAAACTAGAAAATTAGCCTATTGCTTACAGATCACCAACAATGCTAGAAATTTTAATTAAATTACTATATAATTAAAATTTTGTCATATAACTTTGTACATTGTATAATGTTTAACTTCTGGAAGAAACAAAATTTTACATAACTGGTGCTCAGCATGGTAAAAGATAGAATATGTAAGATTGTCAGTTTTGTAAAGTTGAATTGAAAGATAAACTATTATGAAACCTGCAAATAATATTTAATTTGAAGGTATAATTTCTAAACATTTTATCTGTATAGATTTTGGAAATCTTTATTAATAAATGATAAGAAAGCATAAAATTTACATAAGCATTTTTACATGATTAGCAAAATATTTTTGCAGAATTTTCTCAAACAATTTTCATGTATTTTGCTGTTATATATTTAAGACCATTTTATGCCTAAATTCCTTTGAAGCTAATTACTGAGAAACAAATGTTGTTGTTTTTTTCCCCTTAGTAATACATGTTTTTACCACATTGCAAAATATTAAGACATCTCTCATGGTAGTATTAGAATACACCAGTTTGTAACTAGCATTTTCCTCAAGACATTTTGTTACGATTTTCAGATATCTTTGTTTTATCACTTCAACAGATGACTTTCGAATATTTTGTGGAGATCTGGGAAATGATGTTACTGATGAGGTGTTGACTCGAGCTTTTGGTAAATATTCTTCTTTCATCAAGGCTAAGGTTGTTAGAGACAAACGTACGAATAAGACCAAAGGATTTGGTTTTGTTAGTTTCAAAGATCCTCAAGATTTCATCAAAGCTATGAGAGAAATGAATGGTGAGAAGTTCATAGTTTTCTTTTTAACACTAATATATGTTTTATAGGAATTTATTTAACAATAAGTAAAAGAGTTAATAGTAAAGAAAATCAGTTATACAAAGACTTGTGGAATCTTAAGAATACTAATAATATAAGAAACTTTAAGGTCACCATTAGGTAGCTTTAAATTTATACTTAATATATAATAATTGAGTAGGATGAAAAATGTTTTTAGTTTACTAAATGCAGTTTACATACAATATACTGTGATTTTGCAATTATCAAAGAAAATGATTTTTTGCGTCTATTTTCAGGGAAATATTTTTTATATCAATAGCTAACCGATGACGTAAAGTATTACTTTAATAGTGAGCTTCATATATTAGTATCTTGGTATTTCATTAGATTTATTCAACAAGTTATTGTATTTATAGTAATTAATTATTTTTACTTCTTGTATATTACGAGGCAGAGTTTTTAGTTCCTTTTCATTGAGGAAATACAGTAGTGGTATACAACATTAAATAGTAAGCATTCATTCTAAAGGAATATATATAACTCAATTTATTTGGATGTTCCAAACACTGAATGAATGATTATAAAATACTGAATATTCTGAATATGTACATATGTATTCTACCAATAGGTATCTTTCATCATGTATAAAAGGTAATTTTTTGTTAAGATCTAAGTACACGTGTAATACAGCTAGTCAGGCTATAGTTGTTTATAACACTGATGTTCACTTTAGATACTCAAAAAAAGTTCTTACAACATGGAACAAACAACAGTAAAGAACAGCTGGTTGCTTATTCATAATTCACCAAGAGCTAGGTCTGAACCAAATAGCAACTAGTAATAGTTAATAACTCACTTATAGCTCACCAGGAGCTAGGTTCGATATGAATAACAACTAAGGATAGTTGATTGCTTACCAATAGCATACCAAAAGCCAGGTTAGAGCTGAACAACAGTTTATGTAACTGAACACTTATTGATAATTCATCAACCTAACTACAGTTTGATTTTAGATACGATAGATTGATATTTATTTCTTGGTTAATAGATAAGGTAACAATAAAGGGATGGGTAGGGTTACATTCTTAGAACTTAATTGGAATTAAAATACACAACTTTCATTGGACAATACTTAGTACAAGCCTTGAAAAATCCCCATGGCGACTAAAAATTTCATCACGGTGCCGAGTATTTTCTCTCATTTTATTCATGTGCTAAATAGAACTCGAATATAGAACAGTTCTGGACTCTTGTATGTCTGGAACTATTTTCACATTCTTTGAGTTCTAAATCAAACATTGTTTCTAGGATTTTAATGGTGGATTGAACACTTCATGTTTTTTTAGGAATGAAGCGCTGCAGTTACACAACATCTTAATAATTTTGTGTTTTTTTTTCTTCTTCTTTCTCTCAACTGAATCAGTGCGTATTTATGGACTCATATGGAACCAAAGGCAAATTAGTTCAGGCAATACTGTCAAGTGGTTGTTGATATCTTTTGATTGTTAGCATGCACTCTAAGCTGTGAAAGTAAATAAATATACACTGGCTCCTCGATTATAAACGCTAGTCCAGGGAAAGCAAAAACTTGCGGATAACAGAAACAGTGGATAATTGAGGCACTAGTGTATCTCACTAGTTAGTCCATTGTTTAATCTCAGTAAAAGTTTTCAATATATTTAAGTTCCTTGTTTTAAATTATGATCTTTTTACTGTCATTTAATCACATTATCATGAAAAATTATAAAAGTCATCACAATCATCATAAAAGCCAAGTGTCAGTTGGTCACACTCGATTGTTTCGAATTGCGTGAGTTACACGAGTCCAATTCTGCTTTTTCTCATATAATACTTCCTCTTTTGATTGCCCATTCCCATTTTAGTTAAATTTAATCCCTAACATAGGCATAAATAGCTCCTAGATTTTAGCACCCTATCAACACCTATGAAAAATAAGTCAAAATTAGCACAAATCTATGCTTGGAAGTATTAAAATAGACTTAAGATACCAATAATCTGTAGGGAAGAGGACAGTGCATAACTGGGCAACACTCCAACACAATCTGAACATGCATCTGTGGTTAAAGGACACTTGGCATGTAGCATAGAATAGGGGAAGACAACTGGAGTTGAGTGTAATCTTTTACGAAGCTTTAATGTGTATACTATGATTGTAATCAATAATCAAATAAAGTTAACCAAGCTATGAATATTTTATATTCCTGTCTTAAAAGTTAAAAAATAAAAGAGGTAAGGCTATGCTTCAACTGACTGACTTATGATTTGAACACCTGCCAGGTCCTGCATGCAAAAACTCTGGATATCATGCAACACCTGAACTTTTGCAACCAAAATTAATATCTGAGTGACAATTTCTCCAAAACATGTAAATTATTTTGTAGAATTGCAATGTGGGGAAAAGAACAAAATGTGGATAATTGAGGATAGCAAATAATGGAGGCACTAGTATAGCCCCCATTTCCCAGTACAAACAGTAGTGAAGTTAGGTTGGGCACACCTAGCTCCTGAGTGTTAGAGCTATCTACTAGATCTGAAAATATTTGTCGAGGCCTAACTTAGTATATTAACCTTATATTTCTCAAAACTTCTTTTTTCTGGATTAATAATTCATATTAAGACACATAAAAGGGTCAGTAATTTCAAGCAGTCTTAATGGGATCAAAAGCTATATCAACGGTTATTTTCAACTGAGTGCAATAAAGTTTTGGAAATCATTAAATAAGTTATGAAGAAAAGCAAAATCTGAACAATTTCATAGAAATATTAACAAAAATTAAGCATTAGCAATTATGAATTTACTAAGAAAACTGTACATAGTGAAATAGATCCTACCAAACAAAAGTAAATAAGCCCAGAAATGAAGTAGTGTAACTGAAAAAAGTGACTTGACAGAACAGCTACTGCTGGTAGTCTGTTTCTTACTGGTAGAAGTGTGGCTTGTAACACTAAGGAAGAGAATAGAATGACAGTTCACAAGATACACCATAAAAATAATGCGCTGAAAATAGAGGAAGAAAAACCTAGAATTAGTTTGGTATTATTTCGTGATTCTTGATAAAAGTGGTTAGGGCATTCGACTTGCAATCTGAAAGTCGCGGGTTTGAATCCCCATCCCACCAAACATGCTCACCCTTTCAGCCATGGGGGCATTATAATGTGGCGGTCAATCCCACTATTCGTTGGTAAAAAAGTAGCCCAAGAGTTGGCGGTTGGTAGTGATGACTAGCTGTCTTCTCTCTTGTCTTTCACTGCTAAATTAGGGATTGCTAATGCAGATAGCCCTCATGTAGCTTAGCACAAATTCAAAACAAAACCAAAACTTAATAAAGCTAGTTTGTTTAAAATTGTCACACTTTGATATTTCCTATTTGTTTAAAACTGTATAAAATTATTTTTCATATGAAATCTAGCCAAATGGTTGTTTATGTAGGTGGTTACCCTGCTGTGTAACTCAGTTGTAACTACAATACATGAAGTTATTTTCTAACTAGCTATGAGATCTTTTTACTGAGAAAGACATTTGTGAATGATGATCAACTTGTACTACATGATGTATTTTTAGGTGATTGAATGTGTAAAAAATAAAAACTATCATTCAGAGAGTGCACTCATGTTTTTCATTTGCTTCCTAACATTGACAAATTTCTAAATGTAAAGAACATTTTAATATGGAATGTTTTTGACTCATTTTATTTATTAACTTATGTCCAGTATTTTCTATTAAATCTGAATTTTAAAATAATTATTCTATTATACCAGTTTGACTTTTAACTTCTATCCGTAACCTACTTTTTCACGATGATCCACATTCAGCCTTGTGGAACATGAGTATGTCATGTCATCGCATTTTAACTACTGAAAAGCTTTTATAATCTTTACAGTTTTGTTTCAAAGAAATCAGACTTCTGTCTTTATGATTAAGTTAATTTTTTTAAATTTACTTCTGTACATCATATCATTCTGTACTAAGAAACAGAAATTATGTGCCAACCTGCAGAGACAAGGTGAACATGACAAGCATTACTTACATATGTACATATGCCACTGAAACTTTAAGCTTACCTTGTTTTTGGATTCTGTTTGTTTTCTTAATATTGACCCTTAACAGATTTAACTCATATTTAGCCATTGTCAGAAATGCAATATTTCTCAAAAGCAAATATGTATAACTCATATATAAAAAAATATTTCAAAAATAGAGTAGAAGAAAACCATGCTTCTAAAATTTTATGATGATGATTCTGTTTCTGTTTGGAGCTGCTAATTTAAATCTGTCCATTTTACTATCAAAGAAAGAAAATACTACAAAATTTTTCAAACAAAAATATCACTCTTGTCAAAAATGACAATGCTAAATCTTAATCAAACCATTCAATGGGCTTTCATTGGTCACTAAATGTTGTTAGGGAGAAAGGTATAAAGTTAATTATTTTTAATTTATTGTTATTTATTTATTATGAGATTTATTTTGCATTATTAGCTTAGTATGTGGATTTATAACTGACTTAAACCTTTTAAGTTAACTGAATCTCATGAGATAATACTGAGATTATGACCAAAAATATTGCTAACAGAGAGGGTACTCAACTGATGTATAAATGCATTCTAATTATTGTTTTATAGCATTGCTTACTCCTATTTAGATCAGTACATCAAGTTAATAATGTTAGTTACAGGGTTACTTTTTAGTTCCAAGGATAGTTTGCTCGGATCAGATGTTAACAATAATACATATGCAATAAGAACTTTAGGTCAAAGGAAAGCATTAGACTTAGTATGTAATTTGAGATATTCATTTTTTACTCTTGCCAGTCTGGTTTCCAGTATGAGGAATAAATGAGACATAAAGTATTTTTTGCAAAAATCAACATATACGACTTCCAACCAGAATAGCTTCAATTCCATAAAAAATCACTCGGTAGAACATTAATAAGCATTTTGTCTTTAGGTGACTGGTGAAACTGAATAACAACGTAAGATCTCTCTCATGATTACTAGCATCTCATTTGTGGGAAGAATGCATTATTACATTCACTGATACGCATAATTCTGTTTATATATTTAACTTGAAGAGTACATCAATACATATTGAAGCACAATCCTCAGGAATACATAGTTATTTTAATTTAGATTATTCTTGGAGTAGTAAGCTTTGAGGTCATTAGTCTCAAGTTTAAGATTATTTAATTATGTGCAATTTATGGTTTTCTTGTTTATAAAAAAATATATATACATGTAACTGTGGAAATCAAATATTGGAGAACGAGCTTTCAGTATAATGTCCTATTTTCTTTTCTTTTCATGAGAAGTGTTAAACTCAAATGGTCAAATGATAATACATACAATTTACAGTTAAGACATTCTCAGGTAGCTTTGTTTAAATTCAAAATTGTTCATCATGTTTACACATATTTGCTTAATATTTAACTTGGAGTTTATTCTAAATCAATTTTAACACTCTTCTTGTGGCCTTCAAACACTTGAACTTGTGATGTTGGTAAGACTAGGACTACCCATTCTTCAACATTTAAAATCGTATGTCATGATCACCATTAGATTCATCTACAGCATTTTCTACATTTATAAGACTGAAAACCTGGATAATTGTAAAACATTGACCTATGAGTATCAGTAACAACATATGACATCAGTGTTTACATTCATAGTTTTATAACTTCATGTAATATTTATTAATATTTAAGTGGAGACTCTTATAGACTTCATTCATGTCATTTAAATGACATAGCAACAAAACTATTAAAATAAACATATATTCCAGAAAATGTTAGTGTATGATGTGCACCAAAATAAAATATAGTATATCAGTTGACTTTTAAAAAAATATTTTAAGTTTACAGTCTTATTTTCTTAGTTTTATTTACATGGCAGTTAATTTGAAATTGTTATAAGCAACTTCTTTTAAAGTAATGCTGAACTGTTCATAAGGTCTGCTTTCACAATGATAATTTTATTGTTATACTTCAAGTTACATTTGATTTGCTGGATATAATACTACCGACATAAATCTGTTTAACAATGTTGCTTTAATAAATGAATAACATATGAAAGCTTTTTGCACAGAAAACCATCATCATGGTCAAAGAAAACAGACTGCAAGACAAGAAAGTTCTGTTAGTATATAATATCTTTTCCAAGACATCTAACCTGGGTCAATAAGGAATTTTACCAGTAGGGCCCTAGAAGGTGACCAGCACGCCAATGTTTTCCAAAATTTATTGGTGGGAAATGCTGGGATTCTAGCTGAATATGTTCTTTTACAGGGGACGTAATGCTAATTTGTGATTCCATTTTTCTATGATTTTTTGATGAATTAGCTTTGAGATGACCACCCCCTGGCCCCCAACCTTGTGACAGAAACACATTTTTTTTAATAGGGATGTTCTTGCCTACCATTGTAGTGATGAATTGTGGTCGATGTTGAAAAAGGAAAATCTTTTCTAACCATTCACCGAAACTTCTTTTTTTTTGCTTAATGTTATTCTGCTTGATTGATTTCCATTTATTAAACAAAAGGAAATTTCTGTAGCTTCTGTCATATTTCTTATGTTTCTTCATTTGTATGTGTCTCTTCAAATTTCTCTTTCGTTCTTCGTGAGCAGTCTTTGAGACTTTAGAGAGATATCCATCTATGCCCCAGTCTTTAACAAGTGATTCCTTTTTCTTAACAAAATCTTTGTGTTTGACATTTGGTGTATTTGATAAAAAGTTTCCTTTTGCTGATAAATTTTGCAAGTCCGTTTGTGATTTACTTTTCATTTTTTTTGTAACTGATTCATTTTCAATAAAATCAGATAATGCATCTGGCTTGCTATTGATATGTAATTGGTTAAATTGCTTAAAAATATTATCTTTCATTACTGGGTTTCTCAGATGATTATTAATAAAGTGAGAAGGTAATTTTAACAATGGGTAGATACCTAAAGGGGCTAAAAGAAATTGAAGAAAAGGAAACATTATAACATCGTTTCTGATGTCATTTAGTATTTCGTTAGATACTGTATGAGGAACAATTCTGTTTATGAACTCATCTTTTTCAGTAGGTTGCCATAATGTTTCAGGAACTTGTACTGTTTTTTCTCGTGGTAAAAAGGATAATGGACTTGGAAAGTTTGTAGTGGATCCTGTGGATAATTGTTCATTCTGAATGTTTTGTCCCAGAATGGATACATCAACTTCCAAAGATTTTGGTTTTGATACCCAGCTTTCATCAGAAAATTCATCTTGACTTTTCAGAGGCCCCAAGGCAGAAAGATCAATGGACATCAACTTTATTTTTTCTTTGTTCTCTGTGTCTCTCTGAAATCTCTTTTTAAGAGGGGTAAGCATGGCAATTTTTCTTGTATATAAGTTTCTTTCATCCTGTGGTATTAATTCTGTGGTTAGGAACTTTTGTTGTGAGTTATCATTCTCTGCAGCATGTTTTGAAGAAATATAGGTTGGTGAGATGTTACCGTTGTGGTCCTTCATTTTATGGATTGGAATCAAAGCCAGGGTAACTTCATTCATGGTGCACTGTGCTGTGAGGAGCTGAAGTACGTACACCAGCATTATCAGTTTCTTCATGTTGTTTCTGGCTCCTTATAGAAATAAAACAAAAATTACGTTATACCTAAATGTAGTTAATTGTTAAAAATTATTGCTTAGAATAAATGAATTTTTTGTCACATTTTTTATAAATACTTCATGCCATTTTACTATAACTGATGAATATGTTATATATAATCTGGCTTAATAAGATATGATAGAACTACTAATAAAGTTGAACATTGGTATGTCGAAATTTTGATTTCGTGCATGGATAGATATTGTCAAAATTGGAATTCACTCCAGACCTTTTCCTTTAACATACATTGTTTCTAATGCTTCACATTTATGATGGATGAAAACTAATACGGTCACAGCCCCAGATCTGCTTTCTTGATCCTCTGATAACTTGAATTTATTCCAAAAGTCTCTGGCACAACATGACAATGATCAACTTTATTTTACAAAGATACCTTTGATTATCGTATGGATTTTTTGAAATATAATAGAAGTGTAAATTTAATCTTTAGTTTTTTGTTTAAATAATGAATTAAAAAAAGAAAAGAAAATAACATTGGATAAAAACTGACACACTCTCCACCTACATTGGTCAATGTGTTTGAAGTAAAGTGATCAAAGCTCATAATATGAGCATTTCTAAAGTAACATATTCCCAATTTTGTAACAATATGAAAGATTAATGTTTATAAATATTTAAAATTTTCCTACAGCTACAATAAATATAAACAAAATTATGGCTTAAATAACTCTTATTTTCCTGTGTATTTTGTGTGGGGATAAGTAAATGTGAAATTAGTTTTTAAAGATTAACAATTAAAGAGACTAAGAAGCTAATCTTTCTGTGTCAGTGTTTTATGTATAGAAAATGGTGAGAAAACAGAACTTTGTTACGGACTTGGTTTTGTGTTAGATGTGAGATTTTTCAGCTTCAAGAACTTTTAGGAATTGTATGATACCTTAAACATATTGCAACTCTTTCTGTAAAATTTTGACAACTTTCAGCATTTTATTATCTTCAGAGGGTGTTTATTATAAGATTAATTACTTTTTCTACTACTTACTTAGAAAAAAAAAGTGATTGTATTTCACCATGTTCCTGAAATGACAATTATAAAACCAGTATAATTACTTATATTTTAATATACAAATAGTTTATAATTATAAAATACTATATCACACAATAAAAAATTTATTCTGTATTGGTGTTTACATCATATTTTTTATTTTCTTAGAAATATATTTTTAATGAAAAATATACGAGGGAATCCTCAATAATCGTGGTTAGAGCAATTAACTCGCAATCCGAGGGTAGCGGGTTCTATCCCTGTCCCACTAAACATGCTTGCCCTTTCAGCCATGGGGGCTTTATAATGTGATGGGCAATCTTACTATTCTTAGGTTAATGAGTTGGCGGTGGGTGGTGATGGCTAGCTGCCTTCCCTCTAGGCTTTCACTGCTAACTTAGGGACGGCGAGTGCAGATAGCCCTCATGTAGCTTTGTGCAAAATTCAAAACAAACAAACAAAAGCAAATCAATAGTTGTGGCATTTGAAATTCTTTTAGGCAGGATTAGAGTAAATTAATTTATGAGACCTTTTTTTTTCATTTTTATTAGCTATATTTTTGTGTTCCAGCAATACCAAGCATGTGGCTCGAGAATACCTGGTTCGGTTTTATTTTTTGTCAGGATCTCTACCAGCCTAGCTTCAAACTGAAATTCTTAAAGTAAGGATTAAAGTAAATTAACCTATGATACCTTGGGCATGATCAAATACATCAATTGAAAAGGTTTGACCTCTTGAATAAAAAAATGTAATTAGATCTCAAATTGGTCAAGAGATGACGGAGCTATGAGCTAAAAGTTTGTACTAATGACTTCCCTTAGCCTAATAGTGAATAGATGAAAATAAGTAGAACAGAAGAGTAGTGAAAGCTATAAAACTGATTCTTTTAACGAGCAAGTAATTTTATATAAATGTATAAGTTAAAAAGAAGAATAAAACAAATTGTGTTATGGTAGGCAAGTTTCCAGTTTTGATTAGTTTGCAAAAACATAGTTACAGATGAGTAAAGAAATAGGTAAAATAGTAAACGTGTTATTTAGAACTCTAAACATGAGAAAAAATTTAATAGGTGTTATGGTGAAAACATTTTAGGTATTTAGGTTTTATTTGTAAATACCTGTTTTTTTATTTATGTCATATCTATTAAAGAGCAATGTTTTAAATTGCAGGCAACCCGCTTTCTCTTTTAAAGATACTATTTTGAAGTAATGCTTATATCATAAGTAAAGAAATGTTTCACGAAGCTACAGTAAATATAACAAGTTCATTTTATATCTTGGGAAAAAGACTGAACTTAGTTTTCATACATAGATTACCATATATACATGTGTTTGAGTCATATTTTGTAAGTAATAGTACTTGTACTGATGTGGATAAAAAGAATACCAACATAACACAATGTATTCACAGTTTCAATTTTCATAAATAAAAGTTACCTCTAATGTAATGCTTGGCTGGCATAATTTTTATTCTCCTGACATTATATTAAGTAGTTTAGTTTTGTGTACATTTTGCAGATTTTTTGTTTGTTCATTCATTTATTTTTCTAATGATGCCCAATTTACATATTTGTGTGTGGAATTAGATTTTTATATATCTTTCTCAAGGCAGTGTCTGTAAAGTTGTTTTTATGATCTGTCTTTTATGGTGGGGTTTTTTACCCCTTTTTGTGTACTCTTTCTTTATGAAATTTGATTAACTGACATATTTTTCATGTTCGTCTGTGTAGCGCTTGGTTCCATTTTCTGTGTTGATTTTGTTGCTCTCTCCCATTTCTTTTTCAGCCCCATCCCTCCCTTAGTGGATTAAGTAGATTTAAATATCCCAGACCAGTGCCATCTGAAGAATTTGTATTTCCCACATTTTCTGTTAGATTCATGCTGTAAGAGTTGTTTATGTTTCTCACACATGCAAGTATTATTCAACTAGATTTCCTGGCTACTTTTTCATGCTAATATTTACATAGTTGGCTTTTATCTCGTCTTTCATATTAGCGTACTTATAAAAAAGGCTTCTTTTACATTCTTCAATGATAATATATGGTGTTTTTATCATCTGTTTTGTGTATCATGGTATTTGTTTACACTCGCACCTATACTTTGCTAATGGTGTGTGAAAATTGACTTCTTATTGTTTACATGGTGATGCTTCACAATTTTCACGTATGCTCTGAGTAAAATATTTTAAATATTGTTAAAAGTCAGTGCCACAACAAATAGATGAAAAGACATTTCAAAATTGTATTATATTTTTCTTATCAACCTGCTTTTCGAAAGGTTTTGTTATTAAAGCAGTTATCATTGTTTACAGATTATTATGTTTGTGTTAAACCATCCCAAAAAATGTGGAAAGTAAAAATAATTTAAATGTATCATAATCGCTTTTATCAAAAGTAGTTTTAATTTGTAATTAACAGGGAGTCTATATGTTGTTGTTTTTTCTGTTTTATGTAGCACATTTTATTATTTACAAAATGGTAATCATAAAAAAGCAGCTTATAGTTTATAAAAAAATCATGAAAGTATTAACTAGAATCAGATAACATGTCAGACGATCCTCTTAATGTCATGGGGACATAGGTAAGACACTATATAATTTGGGTTTAACCTCAAAAAGTGTGATAATAGGTGGATTTTCTAAAAAGTACTTAATGCATAAAATAAAAGAAATAGTTTTATAATTTATAAAAAATTTGTAAGTTTGAAAACTTTGGAAATGCACGAAAATGTCTTTTTATTAATTCAACAACTTGAGAATATAGGCAGTTATCTCTAAGAAGACCTGGCATAGCCTGATAGTTTAGGCGTAAACAAAACGGTGTCGAAATCCGTTGTTCAACACGCACACGCTTTCAGCCGTGGGGCTTTATAATCTAACTTTCAATTCCATTATTCATGGGTAAAGATTAGTTGGTGTTGGTTAGCTGCCTTCCAGTCAATCTATCAGTTCAAAATTAGGGACGGCTAGCCCAGATAGTCCTGAAGTTGTTTTGCAACAAACGATATAAAAACATTCATATTGATACGACAAATGATAAGCAATTATACAGCATCAGTTGTGTTTGTGTGTAGAGATAAACTTAACACCGGGAGAGTTGTTTACCTGTAAACACGACAAATGATAAGCAATTATACAGCATCAGTTGTGTTTGCGTGTAGAAATAAACTTAACACCGGGAGAGTTGTTTACCTGTAAACCTGACATGATAAGCAATTATACAGCATCAGTTGTGTTTGTGTGTATAGAAATAAACTTAACGCCGGGAGAGTTGTTTACCTGTAAACCTGGAAGTGAAATTTTTAAAATGTTAGATTTTCTTGAGCATTAATTACAACCTGGTTGTGAAATTTGTTATTAATCGAATGTAGATTTTGTTTTACTTTCTATAGATGTTCCTCGTGCGTTTATTAACCTTTCCTGTCAGTTATAGTTCAAATCCGTTATGTCTCTGCAGTTAAAGGGGGGTGTTTTCCACTTATTTTTCAGAATTAATTACATTTAATTATATTATCGAGAATTGTTATATTTTCACTGTTAAAGACCGGACTGTAAAAACGCCTTGAATTGTAAGAGTTATGTCAATCTTCTGAATTATAAGTGCTAAACAAGTGCGTAATACGAATATCTTGAGATTTCCACTTAAAGTAATGACGAAAATACGTGAAATAGTAACTATATACCTATTTGCAGATTTAAAAGCCTTACCTGGCGTTTGAGGTCGGTAGCGTAACCAGAAGTATTGTACTTATATGTATATTCAGTCCACGTGGTTCCTTCGTTCTTGTGTCATAGGACCATAATTTATAGTTGAATCAAGTATCTGAGGCCATAGGTAGCCAGTGACCAACCAGCTCGTGGGTGGGTTAAGTAACCAATGGTTGCCATCTGAGTAGGTAGTTCAGATGCTTTTTTAGTGCTGTTTTGCAACACTCATTTTCCACGTATAACAAACTTTACTTCATTTCTTCATGGCATTATTAGAAGCATGTCTTCAACGAACAGCAACCCAGCTGGCAGAAATAAGACCAGTATTAGTATTGCGTACAACCAATTTCGTCAGGCTGCTAATGTTAATTGTCGTTTTAAAATTCAGTGGAAAAATGTGATATATTTCTATTTATTTACTTATAAACTTTAGAAATGGAACGCAGATTAAGCGGTATAATTACTTGGTTCTGGTTGAAAACCATTTCAGCATTGTTTAAACCGTAATTTTTTAAATTCGTTTGCCAAACATGCTCGCCCTTTCAGTCGTGGTGGCGTTATAATGTTACGGTCAAACCCACTATTCGTTGGTAAAAGAGTAGCCTAAGAGTTGGCGGTGGGTGGTGATGGCTAGCGCAGATAGCCCTCGTCTAGCTTTGCACGAAATTCAGATCAAACAATCATGTTTGCCGATACATTTACAGTATAATGGCTTTTACAATGGAAGTTTTTAAATAATAGGATAACATCGTAAAAGTTATAAAAATATATCAAAGAAGTTTAACATTTTTGTCCTTGTGAAATTACTTGTATTTTGTTCAAAAAGTAATGCACACACAAATACAAAAGTTTCAGGTATTCTACCCGTAAGCACTAGATACTAAAATGCGCTGCTGGTGCTTGTATGCCTCATTACCGTTTTAAAATGTGAAACTAAGAGATACGGTGCGTATAAGGCTATAAAATTGACGTCTAACTGAACAATTTATGCTCGAGGAAATACGGCAGGTATATTTTTTACAATTACAGTAATCATCGTATTTTTTTACATAAACTGGGTTGGGAAAATCGTTATCGTAGGAACAGTTCTAGATTGAATATAAAACTAATAGAAATCCGTGTTCACAAAGAACGCGAAATCGACTTGCTTTGTTTGTATTTTATTTTTCAAGTTTGATAAAAGTACATTTAGCAGAATCTACGTTTTGGATAAAACCATTCACTATTAAAGTACATGTATCATTACTGCCTCTAAATATTACCTTTGTTACCAGTACTGTGTACAACTAGTATATTCATCATTCCTGTTATAACCAGTATAGTTTATAATTAGTACATTTATCGATGCTGTCATAACCAACATTGTCTCTAACTTGAATATTTATCCTGAGCTTTTCCTAAGGATTTTTGTCCATCTGCACAATTATATTTTAACTTCATCATTTTTTAATACATGACGCCTTATTGCACCTCATATATTTAGGCCTAGTAATAAAGGATAAAAAAATGAATAATATTCTAGTAAATACAATTATTGAGCAGCTCTGTTTTTCTATGGTACATTTATCGATGCTATCATAACCAGCATCGTCTCTAACTTGTACATTTATCGGTAGTGACACAATAAGTACTTGTACGACTATTGTCTCTAATTAGAACATTTATAGATACTGACACAATAAGTACTTGTACGACTATTGTCTCTAATTAGAACATTTATAGATACTGACACAATAAGTACTTGTACGACTATTGTCTCTAATTAGAACATGTATAGATACACAATAAGTACTTGTATGACTATTGTCTCTAATTAGAACATTTATAGATACACAATAAGTACTTGTACGACTATTGTCTCTAATTAGTACATTTATAGATACACAATAAGTACTTGTACGACTATTGTATCTAATTAGAACATTTATAGATACACAATAAGTACTTGTACGACTATTGTCTCTAATTAGTACATTTATAGATACACAATAAGTACTTGTACGACTATTGTCTCTAATTAGAACATTTATAGATACGCAATAAGTACTTGTACGACTATTGTCTCTAATTAGTACATTTATAGATACGCAATAAGTACTTGTACGACTATAGTCTCTAATTAGAACATTTATACATACTGATACAATAAGTACTTGTACGATTATTGTCTCTAATTAGTACATTTATAGATACACAATAAGTACTTGTACGACTATAGTCTCTGATTAGTACATTTATAGATACACAATAAGTACCTGTACGACTATTGTCTCTAATTAGAACATTTATAGATACCCAATAAATACTTATACAACTATTGCCTTTAACGTATCATTACTGTCGTAACTAATACACTACTACTACTACTGTTCTCAATAAATATTATGAATGATTTTTAACCACCCCTGTCACTGTCGTCTTTAAAGTCTCGGTGTATATATTTTCATTAAAGCTGTTTTCAATTAGAAAATTAAAAAAGCGGGTTAAATAGAATCATTCCTTTCAAGTAAATATATTTTTTTCTTCTATTTTTTCTTTAACCAGGAAGGTACGTTGGTAGCAGACCTATTAAGTTGAGAAAAAGCACGTGGAGGGACCGAAACATTGAAGTTGTACGGAAGAAGCAGAAAGAAAAAGAAAAGTTGGGACTTTTGTAACGAAAAATTAAAGATGGTAAGTATAAATCTGAAACATTATTTTGAAAATTTGGTTTCAGGAATGCAAACCATGGTCAAGCTGGGTCAAATAACGAGAAAGCGTTCCCTGTCTTTGCATACAAGTTTAGCCCTCAAGTTACAAAATTGACCAAATGAATTGGGTGAAATCACTTATTTTCTGTATAAGATACATAAGAAATTCCAGCAGTTATTAGTGAGATTAATTACTGTATTGATGGTTATCTCTGTTTAATTTTTTGTGACGTGGATGTTAAGTAGGGAACTTGTAATCAACAAAGTCAGTGATTCAGAAGTTTAGAAAAATATGTTTAAAGAATTAGTGTCCACGAACTCGCTCAATAATCCTAGAATTAAGAATTCTAACGACAACGTAACTGCAGTCTCTATCACCAATTTCATATATTTTCAGTGAGGACGATACAACTGGTATAGTTAGTTACACAAAGACCCACTAAACCAGGGTCCTGAAGAGGTTTTCCAAACTGTGACGAAATTAGCCATTAGATGTTTACTACACTGTAACACATCCTAATGAACAAAGTTGCACGTGTTTTTCTGTCATAAGACTTGTTTGTTTCAAATTATTTTTTGGTTTTTTTTTTCAATATTCTTTATTTTAATTTTTCTTTTTCGTTTAACTGTAGTGTCTTCTGTAGTTCCACATTTTAGGCATTTTTTGTTCCTACCTTGTGAATGTAATATAAATTTATTTTCAAATTTTTTGTTGTTGCATTTGTTGAAACCATTTGTGATAGGCCATTGAAAGTGAAAGTACACAGCTCGCGACAAGGTGTCCAGTGTTTGGATATATGTGGTGGGGAGGCGTCAGTCTCTCTCCCACTGCCACTGATTAACTCTTTTTTTTTTATCCCCGTCCCACCAAACATGCTCGCCCTTTTATCCGCGGGGGCGTTATAATGTGACGGTCAATCCCACTATTCATTAGTAAAAGAGTAGCTCAAGAGTTGGCGGTGGG